AGAGTCATGATTCTTATGAAAAGTAGTATCTTTTTATCTACTCATTCTCCGGAATATTCCACAATATTCTATAAAATTTCCAATAATTTAAAGCATTTTAAGTTTGACTTAATTTCTAATTCACTAAACAAAAAATTTCACTTAAACAACCACTTAAATTGGTCACAACCAATTTCAAATTTTCCAACAAATTGAACCTACCGAATAGAAATCGAACGGTTAAAAAAAGGGGTTAGGAATAGAAATTGAGGATCGACTGAGTTCGGGTCTACTATTAGTTCCTAAATTAGAATTATGGATATCAGAATGAAATCGATTTTTATATAATTTTTTATTTACATTTTACAGGTTGGGAAAAAAAAATACAAAACATAAAAATCCCATTTTTGATAGTTATTTGTCCAAAACTCTACACTCTAACACTAAGAATTCAAGATTGACTCCTACTTTTGACATCTCGCATCACATCATATTGTTATATTTCAGAGGTTAGTACATGTTAATCTTTACAATTTGGGCTTTATATGAATAAAAATGTTTAAGCTAAATTGTGGCGTGAGTTAATGAATCAAAGCGTTCATCCTTTGTAATTCGAGCTTTTCACTTTCGAAATATAAATTATGATTAATTTTGATGCACATGCAGTCCGATTCGACATCAAATACATGTAAAGGACCAACAAGAAGCCATAGTAATATGGTTCAGGGAGGAATTAACGTTCACCCACCTTAACAACAACAAACACCAATGTCATTCTCCTTTTCACAATATTCCATCCCCACACCATTCTCTATCGTCTGCAAAATTTGATCTCTTCGTCATCAACAAATGTTATGTATAATTCGCAATGTATAAACTTTTCTCTTATATTTGAATTAAAACTTCATTTTCTCATGATTGCATCATTAGCTGTTCACATTGTATTTAATTTAAGCAATGTATGCGGTTATACTATCCAAGTTCACCAGAGGCTTGTGATTGGAATGTTTATTTGCTTTCACTGGTTCCTCCTCATGGAATTGTAGAGTAGTTTGTAATATTTCTGCATTAGTATTACCCATTATGTCCTTGATTTCAATGGTCTAGTGTTGTTCTTTATATAGTCTTATATATGATCTCATGCATATACCAATACCATAATATTGGTAGGTCCAGCTGATTTTTTTCTTTTTTATTTCATCTGATTTTGACTGTATATAGTCGAATAAAATGTAGGAAAATATGATAACTGGTGAACTAATACCAGACCAATGCCGAATTTGTTAATATGAATTATTGGTTTTAGAAACAGAATTACAATGAAACAGAACAATAATATAAAGTACAGAAATAAACTTTTAACCCGAGCCATGTGAGAACACAGTTTCCTTAAAATAGATTCGTCCCTTCACCGTATGTGCTTGAGGTTTAAAATGAGCGTCTATTTCCCAGGATACAAAGGAAGACCAGTGCAGTGAGCACCACAGAAGCTACTCCGACGAACAGAATGTGTACTAGAACAATATCACCAAAACTGGAAAAGAATCTGATTGGAAGACTATGCAGAATGCAAGGAGACTATGCAGAATTCAAGGAAACTATGCAGCATGCAAATAAAATATGCCTTATGTTTTTCTCGTGTTGAATAGTGGAAATTCGGGTTCACATATATAGACAACCCCTATGAATTATGAGTTAAATCCGTCCATAAATATGTCATTAACATGTATTCTAATGGACTAACTATTGGAGTTTCAACAGTTTAGAATTTTAAAGGTCAGTTGGAGAAAAAGAAAAAAAAAATATTGGCAAAACGTAGGCCTCCTAAGGACTAAATTTTTGGTCAATCCGGTCCGACATTCATGTACGTATGTCGCGCTCGCACACAAGTTCAAGTTTCGAAACCTATCTCGGTTCGTGATTTGCAGCCCCCTGCGCGCGCACGTGAAGAGAGCCTCTATGTTACACATGATTACACCCTTCAAAGTGTAATCCTTTATAAAATGATTTTTGCCTTTATCATTTTCCTATGTGGGACAAATCTTAATTGGTTTCCCTCCAACACATAAACTCATTTCAATTGATATACTTTGAACTCAATTTCTCATTCACCCAACTATCATTTTTGGTGGCGATCTGATATTGTGGGTTGAGTGATGGTGAAACCTTTGATGAAAGTACGGTGCAGTGTTACTCTGGCTGGAAGTGCGGTCCGAGATGATGAGTTGTGCGTAGGGTTTGAAATTTGGGGGGGTTCAATTTTGGGGAATGAGTTCAGATAGCCACCATTCAAAATATTTTTGTCTAACTGGCCTTTGACCAAATTCCTCAAATAAAATAAAATTTCATTATTTAAAAGTGTGAAAGGACTACTATAACCTTCTATTGTAAAATCAAATTGAAGAATGAATTGAAACTTTCATTCATGTCAAAAACATATTCTTTCCCAAATTGAAAATTGAAAACCTCATTCTCGTTCAATTTCCCAAAAATCATCTTCTCATTGACTTCAAAAAACATATCTTCACCTTCTTCTTGTGAGGGCAACAATTGTGGAGGGTTTTAAATTAAACGAAAATATTGATATTTACTAAGGCAACTATTGTTGAGGGTTTTGAGATTTGAAGAGAAGATAACTCCTGTTACATAACAATTTTTAGTGTCTTTGGCTCAAATTAAAGATAGGTGAATTCAGTTCTAACTGCAAGAGTGGTATAATCTTTCCAACAAGTTGGTGGTTGACGAACTCGAAAGGTTGAGTTGAGTTGAGTTTTGATAGAATGATTAATTTGTCAACAAAATCTGGCATGCATTAGAAACAATCTAAATGGCAGCTTGATTTTTGTTTTTTTTCTTTTTCGTCTTTGAAGGG